TGGTGAAGGAGCTCTGGTTGCGTAGTGGTTACGAATTGGGCTGCAAACCTCAAGGTCAGCAGTTCGAAACTACCAGCTGTTCCATGGGAGAATGATGAGGCTTTCTGCTCCTGTAAAGATTTACAGCCTCAGAAACCCTGTAATGAGTCGTTATGAGTCGGAACCGACTTCACAGCACATAACCACCACCACCAAGGGTGGTGTGAATGAGAGGAGGTAACTTGCCCAAAGACTGGCATATTTCTAGCACCTGTGGGTTCAAGTTAAATTCTAGCGCAGTCTAACACTTAGCATATAGACCGTGGGTCCTGTCTTTATGACCTATGAGGAACTTCAGCGAGCTCTCATGATCTGTTCATTCCATTTTTCATATCCACTGCCATCGAGTCGTTTCTGACTCAGTGCAACTTTACAGGACAGAGTAGAGCTGCCCCATAGGAAGCAGAGTGCCTCATCTTTCTCCCCTTGGAATGATGGGTTTGAATTGCCAACCTTTAAGTTAGACGTAGGGTTATTTAACGTCTACGTCACCAGGGCTTCTTCCTCAGGTTTATACTCAAAACCAAATCCACTGCCATACACCTGATTCCAACTCATAGCAACACCACAGGACATAGGGTTCTGAGACTATACATCTTTATGGAAGCAGACAACCCCATCAGTCTCCCTTGGAGTGACTAGTGGGTTTGAACTGCCGACCTTGTGGTTAGCTGCCAACTTACAGGTGCATTGGGGAAGATTTTAACTGTTTGATCTGTGTTTTTACTTGGTTTTGGCAGGAGGACATCTCAGAGTGTCTTTCCAACAGCAAAAAGATGCCGACCTGGTTGGTGCAGTCTTGGAATGCGTAGGTGCTCTGTGGGGCTGGTTTTGTGCCCTTGTCTGACACACTGAGATCTGAGCTGCTCCCAGAAGCATGTGAGGCCAGTCCTTGAGCTGTGCAGGGCTCCGCGCCTCACTTGCACACAGTTAGTAAGACATAGTAAGCTTGGGCAAGCAAAGGCAGTGCCCTATCTGGGCTGGGGCAAGCAAGCTGCTACTGGGTAACTCCTATTACTGCCCTGTACTTTTGAGTAGCCCATGCCCAGGGCTTGGTGCTCTTTGCTAAGTTTAAAGTCTCTTTAGTGGGTGTGTGGTCCTATCTCTGGACAAGACAGGCCAGTGCCACCTGGACCACAAGCTGGTTGTGGGTCAGTGTTACGAAGTACAAACAAACCCCCAGCAGCCCATGAAGGAGAACATCTTGGGTGTTCTATCAGGCCCGCCTGACATGTCTCTCGAATGTCGTGGACTCTGGTATTTGCATGGACATTCCTGCCTTTCTGTGAAGAGACATTCTTGGGCTCCTGGGGCGACTGCATTTACCTGAGGTATGTATGTGGGGGTGGTGGGCACCAGGGTATAGGGCTTGGAGGTGCCCATTCAGGAGGACGGCTGGTACCTATTCCTGTGGAAAGAACTCTGAAGTCCCTGGGCAGCTGATGCTGTGGTGAACCACAGGGGGGTGCTGTCGTTGTCCCTGTGTGGGCTGAGGCCAGGGGACTTTTAGGGACTCTTAGATGCATCATTTTTTCACTAATGTGTCAAATTGCTTTTGACACATGTCATTTTTTTCATCAATATGTCATATTGCCTTTCTTTTTAATTTTTGTAAGAATGTGTCTCTCTGACATTTCGGAGAGTGTTCTATGGATTAAGTGTCATGTTTCTTTGCCCTCTGGGAGGATAAGACAAGCGATAGAACAGCAAAATAAGGCAGCCAGTAGTGTAGCTGATATTAAAGATCAGCTCTTGCACAAGAGGACCACAGCCTTTCCACGCAGGTCGGGCCCAGGGCCAGAGGAGATAGGATAATGTGCTTATTCTCAATTAGATTAATAAAGAATAATTAGATGTCATAAATCAAGCAAGCATAGGATATTGTCATGGGAAAAATATGTAGCTAGAATTAATTAGTTTTCAAATCAGGCATTTATTTTAATTGCTTAAAATGATGGAGCCCTTAATTGCCGATGCATCATTTTGGCCTGAGCGATTTTGGTGGTTGGAACAACGTGATGGGTCTGTTCCCTGAAGTTCTAAGAAAACAATAGAGAAGAAGCTGATTGCATCACCCGGACCAGCCTCCTGCTGTTGAGGCTCTGGAAACTCCCACCAGGCCTCAGGCAGGTGGCAAGTGGGGGCCAAGCTTCCCTGGCGCTCTCCCAAAGCCACTGTGCTTCCTGTGTGTGTGTGATGCTTGTGCATGTATGTGTGCCTGTGAGTGTGTGCATGCATGTGTGTGTGTGGGTGTGCATGTGAGTGTGCTTGTGCGTGTGTACATGCCTGTGAATGTGTACACGTGTGCATTGCTTGTGCACATTGCACATGTGTATGCATGTGTCTGTACCTGTGAGTTGCATGCATGTATGGTTGCACCTGAGAGTGTGTATCTATGAGCCTGTGAGTGTGTTCATGTCTGTGCATGTGTGGGGCGTGCTTGTGAGTGTGCATAATATGTTTGTGGGTGTGTATATGAATGTGTACACATATGTGACTGTGTGGGTGGGAATGTGTGTGTATGTATGTGTGTGTGTGTGCATGTGAATGTAGGAGAGTATGTGTGCCTGTGAATTATGTGCATATGTGGCTGTGCCTGAGAGTTTGTGGGCATACATGTGGATGTGTGCATGTGTGTGTGTATGTGTGGGGATTGGGTGTTAATATGTATGTCTGTGAGTGTGAGCATGTATGGGTAGAGGTAAGTGTGGCGGGTCTGAGTATCTGGCCTGCATGTGGGGGCCTGCAGATTCCTTCCAGGGTGATTTCTGAGGGGGCGATTTACAACGCTATAGCTTGGTCCACATTCCTGGAGTTCCCTCCCCGCCACTCTCCAAAGGTCCTGGGTGGTCTTGGAGGCTGGTTGTGGCAACTGCCCACCCTCTGCCCTTGGCGATGTGGAGCCCACTGGCGCACAGCTGCCTTGGTGGTGGCCCTTCTGGAGTATTTGGGACCTTTGGTTGCTGTTGAGCTGCCTTACTTTTTTCTGGAGGGAGAGAGAAGGCATGTTCTGTACTTACGAGAGGGAGGCAACAGTTCAGGCAGTGCTCTGGGCAGGTGCCCCTGTGGGAGACCCTCACCCTCTCCTGCCTCTGCGCCCTGAATGTGCTGCAGGCAGCCTTGGCCTGGGGCTCCTTGCACACCTGGCTCCTTTTGGAGGACCCCGCTCAGCTCCACTGCCCTGCCTCTCCATACCCATGGTGGCCATAGTGGGTGGCCGGCCAGGTGGGTTCCTCCCTGTGAAAGTCTGCACACTGGCTGGAAGGGCTTACCCTAAATGCTACCCAAACCCCGCAGCCAGCCCCTAACCTTTTCCTTCAACTTTAACTGCCCCTGCACAGTGTGTCTGTCCCTGGTTGTACAGAGGACTTGGGCCTTCCAGGGAGATTGGCTGCGACACTTGTCATACGAGAAAGGTGGTCCCCAGCAGGCCGGAGCACAGATCTGATGATTGAGGAACAGGCTTTCATTTGTGGCAGCAACCCGGGAAGGGGGCCTTCCCAGGAATGTTGTGGGGACTCACCCCTATGTCTGAAAGGAGAATGATTTCACTGTCGTGGGAGGATCCAAGGAGTTCTGGGAACTTTGTGGGTTAGTGGGCCACTAACCACAAGGTCAGTGGTTCAAACCCACCAGCTGCTGTTAGGGAGGAAGATGAGGCTGTCTGCTTCCCTAAACATGAACAGTCTTAGAAACCCTGTGGAATAGTTCTAGTTTGTGGAATAGGCTTGCTTTGGGTTGCGATTGACTTGATAGACTGAATTTTGGGGGACTCAGCATTCCCATGGGGTGAGATAGCACTTAGCGGGCGCTCAGCTTGATCATTTAGTCTCCAGTGAGACGATTTGGAGGTGGCCCCCGGTGTGTGCTCGTGGGTAGCATAGTATTTGATAAGAGACACAGAGCTGGTGAGAGGAGCATGGTGTGTGTCTACAGGCCAAGTCATCTTACCTTTTAGTGACAGCAGAGGCTGAGGGATGCCACCTGTGCGCCTTCAAAAGACATGGGCTCCTTTGGACTGCTGCCTTGGTGGGCCACTGTCCCGAATTGAGGGGGGAGGGAGTGGTTCCAGGTGGCAGCCCTGTGCGGCCCCACCCAGTGGGAACCCACCATGAGGGTTCCCACCCATCAACCAGCTGACCCCACCCATGGTCATAGCCAGGCCAGCCTCTCCCTCCACTTTCTGTAGATTTTTCAGGAGACCTCTTGGCAGGCGTAGGAAGAATGGTGCTCATGGTGACTGTGGGCCAGGAGGCCAGGACAGTCTCACTGGGTAGACACGGTCAGAGTCCTGAGGCAGGGTCCATTCCCTGTCTGTTCTGAGTAGCAGGCTCTTTGCCCACACATTGCTGCTTGGTCTCTCAGAGCTGACTCAGAAGACCCGTCCATGGCTCTGTTTCTCACGTGTAAAGAGAGTATATCCCTCCTTGCTGGCAGTTGTGAGTGGAGGAGGGGCAGCACATCACTGTTGGTCATTACTTCACTGAAGGGAAGAAGAGTAGGATCTCCCCTGAGTGAGCCAGGCCTGGGGCCAGAGCAGGAAGATGCTGGTGTGGCTAGTGGGACCCATGGAACGGGGGCACAGTCTGCGGGACACTAACAGCACAGAGGCTGGTGGAGGGCTTGACACAGGGAGGAAGGAGGATGAGAGAGGCCATGGTGATTGTCCAGCGATGGGGAAGATGTGGCCAAGGTCCTGCTTGTAGGGTGCCGAGGCTGGTGGGGGGCAGGGTGGAGAAGTCGTGAGGGACGATGATATCCAAGGAGCTCATTCAACTGAAGAGGTGGGCACTAGGCAAGACTGGGCTCTGTGTTCTCTGTGGTGCCCACTGCTTACACAGGAAGCCTGTACCCTCTACTTTTGGCAGAGCAGAGATAAAGAGAGGGGCAGAGCCTTTTGGCTGAGGCTGCCTTCCTGGAGGACAGGAGGGATTGCTTATGTGCCCTCTCTCTGTCTCCAGGCAATGGTGCCCCCAAGCAGCACGGTAGTCCCTGCCCCGCCCCTGCCAGACCCCCAGTTTGTGCTCCGAGGTACCCAGTCGCCCGTCCATGCACTACACTTCTTCCAAAGAGCCCAGGGTCAAGGGCACCCACTACTTCTCTCTGGGTGAGTATCTGCTGTCTGGAACCTGACCATGGAGGCATGTTACTGGGCAGTAGGTCTGGCAATGAGCCTGGCTTTCGGGTCATAGGGACTTTTGCCACTCATTTCCTTCCACCTTCACTTGCCCTCCTTCTTCCTTGGCCCTCTCTTTGTTATCAATGCCAAAGCAGGTGCACCTACCTGACCCAGTGGCTGTTGCCATCGGGGCTGGCTTTCAGGCCAGGCCTGCTCACCCCCTTCTTGGACCAGGCCTTGGCCCATCCACTCTTCTTCCAAGAAGTCAAGCCCTACTTTGGGCTAGCCTGAACGCTCACGTTCTCCTAAGCTGGAGCCTAAAGACCCCTGAAGGACTCCCCCAGACTTTCTCTGGATGGAGGAGTGCTTTGACAGTTTCACCCAAGGCTCATATCCAGAGCTGCCACCTCTTTAGGCTAAAAACTACCAGTCTGAGTCTCTGCTCGTTGTCCAGACAGCCCCTCTGGGCAGCCCACCTCAAACACTTACCTGACCCAGCACCTGCTCCCTTCTGAGACAGATCTCTGAGTGGCCTTGTGCACATCTGGAGCCTGCAGACACGGAGGGCGTTTGCTACCCTGGATGGCCATGGGGGCCAGTGTGTGACCTGGCTGTGGACATTGCCCCATGGGCATCAGCTTCTCAGGTGAGTCTCAGCAGCTGCAGTGCAGTGGCCACCTTTCTGGCTGCTCACTGTGGCCACAACTTGGTGCCAGAATCTTGGGATGGAGGTCCTGTGGCCTCAGAGGGTGGCCATAGATGCCAGGGTGGACTGGTCCTTGGAAGGGACACGTGTGACCAGAACATGGTCAGAGAAGACCTAGCCAGCGTGGTCTCAGCATGAGAGGGAGCACAGCACCCAGGGTTCCCTCCAAGCGGTTGTCCTGGACTCCATGATTGGCCTTTTCCTACACCTGGCCCTGCAGCAGTCATTGTGGAGACTGGGGACATGCTGGCTGATGGACTGTGGTGCTGGGGGTTGGGGGTGGGAGTGCTTGTGAAGATGGCACTTAGTCAGGACTGGCCTCTACTTGTGTGGGGATGCTGGGATCTTGGGGCCCGCAGAATCCTCCCCAGCTGTTAGGGTTTTTTTAAATGTTTTATTGTGAATTATGTGATAGTTTACATGGGAGAACATTAGCTTTACATTCATCTTATTGTATATCGTTTCATTGCCATGGTTACAATCTCCTCCATGCATCATCAACCAACCAAAGAGGATACCCCACAAGCCTGCCTCCCGGTCATCAACACACAGCCCCTCTCCCTCTCTGGGTCTGAAGTCCCCAGCCACTCCATCTCTCCACGTCATCATCTCTGCCTCCATCTCTGGTGTCACTGCTTCTCTGGGTAGGGTCCCGCTCTCAGCTCTTCTCCCCTGATGTTCCCAGGGATCTCCATTCCTAGACTGCAAAGTCAATTACTACCCTCCTTTTGCTACAAAATGTCTACCTTTACATTTCCAACCCTCACAATTAGTCCTGATAACAATTATTCACTGTTGTATCACAAGAGACCTATTCCCATTTCCTTTCATCAGCCCCGCCCAGACAGATTGGATACAACTCAGTGGAGATTCTACCTTCCTCCACACCCTCTGGATCTAGGTTCCCTCTTGAAAGCTTGTAAGCCAGTCACTTCTTGCTTTTGTAGCGCCCCCCCCCCCCCCCGCCCCATTTTGGGTAGCCAATGTCCAAGTTTCCCATCCCTGTGTGTATGAGAGGGTGGGAATGATCCTCACTGTAAGGATTTGTTCCCTCTTTTGAGCTACTGCATCCATAGGTGTAGGTCAAGTTCATCAAATTGTATCAGATTACTCTTTTTTTTCCTCTTCTTTCTTCTTGTAGTTGAGCTCTGATCATCCAGTCATTGAAGCCAGGTCAAGTGGGTATTTTCTGCAAGTGTGGGTGTTCTTATGTGTATGCCCTCTCTTCTTATCAGCTGGAAACTTCACTCTCCACTCTAGTTCTCTGTGGCTATGTCACTGACTCTGGGCCCAAGAGTCCCCAGTCTTGCCACACTGCTGGCCAACCAGGTCTCCACCCGGGTTCCCAGGAGTCTATTGAACGTTATAGGGCTTAGCGCGCAGCTTCATTGCTGTTTTTCCCTCACTTCCCTTTATCAGTGATGAACGTGGTCACCAATCAGAGCATGTATTCCCATTGAGTGTTAGTCTTGGAAGGGGGTTTGCCCTGAGGGGACCCGACCACTTGCGTTGATGTCTCCTGGGCGAGCAACTTGCTTGTTCTTGTAGTAATCAGTCGGACTGCCATTATTGTTTTGTATTTTTCCTGTCAGTCTTTCTTTCAAGAAGTATCTTCTGTTCTTCTAGCTGCTCCAGGTTGGTATGCTTGTCCTTTCAAGTAGAAATTTCCTACCTCAGAAGATTCTGGGTAATGCAGAGGCGCCGCATAAAGCCTCCTTCACTGGGCACATTGTAGCACCATTTTAGGTATTCCAGTCAGTTATAGGCAGAAGACAGACTTACAAGCTTTCTATGGTAATATTTCTGGCTATTCCTTTCTCTCCCCCTCAAGTGTCTGTTTTATAATGGTATGCCAGGGAAACCAAGATTCAAAAGACAGCTGCTTTTTCTGGTTGAGGGTTGTTGTTGTGGGTCCCTCACAACAGTGACTGCACCAGCTAGGCCTGGCCAAGCACTCCTGAAGCACATAGACTCCAGGGTCACCACCCTCACAGGCAGCTCCTAGCCCCTGGGGCAGTTGCCAGCTCATCTTCCATGGCTGCTGGAGGGTGGCGTGGTGGGCACTCCAAAACCCAGGGCTCCACTGTGCAGAGATGCTCAAGGTACCAGGTGCTAAGCTAGAAGGAAAAAGATCCTGAACTTCCAGACTGTTGTGAGGGACCCAACCCTACTGTGCACTCCTGTGTCTGGAGGTTCTGAACTCTGTCTGTCCTGCTACTCACTCACTCCAAGGCAGCTTGGCCTATCTGTGTGTCTAGTTTTTGTGCCTTACAATTCACCTACACATTTCCTATGCCTAGACTTCCTCCCTGGTGGGAAGGGACCACAGAGGTGGCCTGTTCCAATAGGGGTACATGTGCCAGGAGCAAGCCCCAGGGCAGGTCTCTGGGTGCCAGGTACTGGCTCAGGCACCTCCTACAGTAGGGCAACCAAAGGACAAGCTGTGTGTGGCCATACCACAGGGTATGTCAAGCCCTTCTGGAGCAGGGATGCCACTGACCTCCAGCCCACATGCTTTCTGGTCAGTTTCTTAAAGAGTTAGTAAGAAGGGTCTGGTCCCCAGGGCCACATGGCAGTCCCTCTGCACAGTGGCCTTCCCCCTGGGAGGTGAAGACTGGTGGCTAGGGTGGCAGCAGAGCCAATCCTCAACCCTAGAGCACATCAGAGGTCTGGACTGATCCTCATGCCAACTCACCCCATGCAGAGCTGCCTTGAGGGGCCTCAGGGATACAGTCCTCAGGCTGGCGGGGGAGAGGTGGAGTGTTGGCACTCCCAACAGAGGAAATCTCACATGACTAGGCCACAGAAGACACCATCTGCAGTGTCCTGAGTGGTTGTGAGCACCAAACAGCTGGGCAGCCATGGAGGATGACCAGAAAGGAGGAGCCATGGATGTGGCAGGTAGAAGTGGGGCCAGGAGGCAGCAGGAAGGACAGGGGCTGGTGGGTGAGAGGGTAGCTAGGAGGGGCTTCACTGCCTTCTTACAGGAATGTGGAGGGAGCTACAGACCATGGAGATGTGTAGGGGGTGGGGCCCAAGCTCCTTCAGAGCTTCCTAGCTGCTGGGTTGGACTGTTTTCTTTGATGATGGTGAACCCCTTGGAGTTCTTGCTGGATTTGTTCTCCATCTTTGGTGCATCTGTGTACTGCTGCCCCCACCACCAACCCGGAACTCTGGAAGTTCAGGATCTTTTTCCTTCTAGCTTAGCACCTGGCACCTTGAGTATCTCTGCACAGCGGAGCCCTGGGTTTTGGAGTGCCCACCATGCTACCCTCCAGCAGCCCTGGAAGATGAGCTGGCAAGTGCCCCAGGGGCCAGGAGCTGCCTGTGAGGGTGGTGACCCTGGAGTCTATGTGCTTCAGGAGTGCTTGGCCAGGCCTAGCTGGTGCAGAGGGCTCTGCTAGGTAAAGGCACTCAAGAGGAGGTGGAGATGGCGTTTCCAAACACAGTGAAGCCACTTGCATCAGGAAATGCTATTTGCAAATATTTCCACTGAATTTTTCATAAAGATGTAGGCCCCCACGGGAGCTGTACTGTCACACTTCCCAGACACCCCCTGTGGCAGGTGCCAGGCACCTGACACCAGACCCTAGGACTCCCTCTGTGTTCTGAAGAGCCAGGTCAGGTTGCAGGTGTGGCCTGACCAAATGCTTAGGAGCGGTGCTGTGGAATGGGTGAGCCCTTAGGCAGGGCTGGCCCCAAGTTGTCTGGGCCCTGGGGGCTGTCTGTAGGTACAGGTGCGTCTGAGCTGCACTAGAACATGCTCGACCCACATCCCTCCCTGGCCCTCTGCGCTCAGGTGTGTTTGGAAAGCTCAACTCTCCAGAGTGAACTTTCCCAGGGAGGAGTGCTCTCACCTTAGCCAGGGTGAAAGGAGGGCAGGGTGACTGAATCTAGGCACCTTGTCTATAGACAGGGTGGTGGGTGAAAGCCAGAGATCCATCACCTGGGCTGCACACCTGAGGGCACACCTGTCCCAGTGAAAGCCACTTGGGAGTGAGCTTTAACCTTTCCTATTGTAAAATGCCACACACTTATGGAAAAGTGTGCAAGACAAATACTCAGATGGTCGCATTATCACTAAGTGGACACCTGAGTAACCAGCTCCCAGGTCCCACCAGGAAGTGCTGCTGGCACTTGCTTCAGCACTGCCCCCCTAGAGGCACCCACTCTCTCTCACCTCATTGTCTGAGTGTCTGACTGAAATAGTTAGACAAGCTTTGCTTTTTTTTTTTTTTCTCTCAAAAAGTGTGACCATGTGCACACCCATGTTCAAGTGTGACCACATACATACATAATTATGTTCACCTCAGCACTGTTCACTATAGCAAGAAGATGGAAACAACCTGAGTGCTCATCAGTGGGTAACTGGAAAAAAAAAACGATGGAATACTATGCAGCATTGCAGAATAATGATGAATCTGTGAAACACCTCATAATAATGAATGAACCTGGAGGATATTATGCTGAGTGAAATCAATAAAAAAAATACAAGTATTGTATAAGACCAAAGGAGCTCTGGTAGCGTAGTGGTTACGAATCGGGCTGCGAACCTTAAGGTCAGCGGTTCGAAACTACCAGCCGCTCCGCGGGAGAAAGATGCGGCTTTCTACTCCCGTAAAGATTTACACCCTCGGAAACCCTGTACAGGGTCGCTATGGGTCGGAACCGACTCGACGGCACTTAACAACAACAACAACCAAAACAAAACCCATGCCATCAAGTCAATTCCAACTGTTAACCACCCTCTACATAGAGTTTCCAAGACTGTAAATCTTTATGGGATCAGACAGCCTCGTCTTCCTCCTTTGGAATGACTGTTGTTGTGAAGTGCTGTCGAGTCGATTCTGACCCATAGCGACTCTGTATATGGTTTCCGAGGAGCAGCTGGTGAGCTTGAACCACCAACCTTGCAGTTCAAACGACTTTGCAGTCTGGCTCATTAACTCACAGTGCCACACCAGGACTCCTAGTGGGTTTGAATAGCTGACCTTGTGGTTAGCAGACCAGTACCTAACTCACAGCACCACTAGGGATACTTTGTAAGAGATCACTATTATAAAAAGTCAGAAGGTTTACACAGAGAAAGAAGCATTCTTTGATGGGGTAGAAGGAAAAGTCATTAACTGGTGGTGGTGTTTATGTACCATGGGGTCTGTTCTGACTCATAGCGACACTTAATAGTTTCCAAGGCTGCAAATCTTTACGGGAGCAGAAAGTCTCATCTTTCCCGTGGAACCACTGGTAGTTTTGAACTGCTAACCTTGAAGTTAATAGCCCAACTCATAACAACAACTATACCAGAATTCCTAGTCACTAACTAGAGGGTAGATATGTATGAACTTGGGTGAAATGAAAGACATATTCAATAAAGGGGAGATCAACACAAAATGATCAAGGTAAGAGAAGACACAGTTTGAAGGCAACAAAGGTAAATGCTATTTCATATACTATCCTGCAGGAACAGTAAGAATAATCTACAAGTAGTAGATACATAGAAACAGGCTGAACAGATGGAGGAAGGCAAATGGATTACACTCGTGAATATTTTTGTTTGACAGAATATATTTTTACATATGTTTTTATATGTGCTGTGTTTATATCTGTGAATATAGTAGTACATACAGGGATAAAGTTATGAAAACAACTCAGTTGTAACCAAATACCTTGAGTAAGTAAGTCACTGGACCTGGGGGCTCAGGACCATAGAGTCGCGGGGGACATCAAGGTCAGTTGGCATAGTACAGTCCAACTTTGATAACTGAACTCATATCCAAGGCTCAATTTTCAGCCAAACAATAGACAGGCCTATAAAGTGAACAGCAACACCAAGGAGGTCCACACGCCTTAGAACAGCCATACGAGATCCAATAGGCAGCATTCACCCAGGGAGAAAGCTCAGAAGACAGGAAGGGATAGGAAAGAAGGAGAAATGGAAACAGGAAACCGAGGGAGGAAGTGGGCAGAGTGCTGGTCTGTTACATTGTGGGGATTACAATCAATGTCACAGAACAAATGGTGCATGAACAGTTGAATGGAAAACTAGTTTGCTTTGTAAACTTTACCCAAGTCACAATAAGAAGTAAAAAAATTTTACTTTTGCCAATTTAGAATTTTAATATATTGAACTATGCTCTAAAAAAGACAACAACTTGTGAGTGACCATGTAAGATACAAGTATTGGTCTTTCCTCAAAAGAAGAAAACCAAAGACTCCAGAGAAACTACCCTATAGGACTAGTAGTCTACACGAGCCACATTCTCATCTCTGCTAAAACAGAACTACCTGGTTACCTGGCTCTCTTTCTGATCAGGACCACAAAGGTGGATCCCAATAGAATGGGATACAATAGAATGGGATACAGAATCTCAGATGTTTTCAGAAAATCCTGACTTGTTTTTAAAAAAGAAGTTAAGACTAGAGGATTCCCCGAGACCATTATTCTGAGATACTCTTTTAAAAACTCTGAAACCCAAGGAAGTGGCAGTGGGGAGACAGAGACTGGAAGGCCCACAGAGTGTGCCGTGATCCTTCTGATCCTGGATCAGGTCCTGGCCTTGGACAATCATGGATACACAGACTTGTGTTGGTAACTTTGGGGTCAAGGTTCTCTGTCCACTGGGTCCTGATGCATCCCCTGGTCCCCTCTGAATTATGTCTTCTGCACACACACAAGACCCGGACTTAAGGGGGTGGCTGGCAAGGGTGAGCTGATGTTTGCCTCGACAAGGTACACAGGTGGCACTGGGGGGCCTCACCTCTTCTTTCCTTGCTTGGAAGCCAGGGCCGGGACCTGAGGCTGTGCCTGTGGGACCTGGCGGAGGGTCGGCACGCTGTTGTGGACTCTGTGCCCCTCAAGAGCGTGGGCTTCTGCAGGAGCTCTGTGCTGGCTGGAGGTCAGCCACGTTGGATGCTGGCCATGCCAGGGAGAGGCGACGATGAGGTGAGAGCCCTTCCTGTCCCAGGTAGACTCCCTGTAAACACCTGTGCGGGCAGTGTGGTCATCCCATTCCGCGGGACCCCATGGAACTACCGAATTTGGTAATGACAACCAGAGTCAGGAGTGCTGGTGGCATAGTGGACTAAGTGCCGGGCTGCTGACCGCTGAGAGATGAGGCTGCCTGCTTCTGTCAAGATTTACAGCTCTGAAAACCGTAAGGAGTAGTTTTACTCACTCTGTCTTACAGTATATCTAGGTGTCAGAATCAAGGCTGGCAGTGGGTTGGGTTGAGTTTGAGTTTGGAACCATGCACACTGGGGAAGTGTCTCTGGTGATAAACCTTCCTCTAGGGTAGTACTAAGGATGAGGAAAGGGGGCCCCATAGTGCTTCAGCAGAGGCCCTTTCCCATCATACCCCACCTTTTTTCCCACTGCCCCTTGCAGCAGAGCAAGCTGGTTGGTATCTGGGAGGTGCTGTCCACACCAGGCAGCCTATGAAGGCGAGTTGGCCAGAGGCCATCAGGACAGGGAGACATGGGCCACATGTGGAGGAAGTTCCAGGGACACTCGACAGAAGAGGATGTGAGGATGAGGCCTCATACAGGCTGTGGGACAGAAGGGGTGAGCTGTAGCCTCCAGAGGGTAGAGGTCGGTGATATAGATGGGAAGCAGAGGCAGCCAGAGGGAAATGGGTGCCCGGGATGAAGGTGCTGCCTGGGCCTGGAAGTGAGGACAGAAGGTGTTTCTTTCAGAGCAGGAAGCTGTGGCTGGAATGCCAGGTGCCATAAGCAGCAACTAGATGGCCCATGCAAGGCCAGCGGCTTTGGGGCAGGAAACAGGCTTGCTCATGGGCAGGATGGCAAGCTCTGAAGAGTGGACGACTGAGGGGGCATGTGTGCAGGGAGCCTCGTCTCATATTTGCCGCCCATCTTGTGTCCACCATCCTACCAGCACCCTTGAGTCTCACAAGCAGGGGTACTGGGCAGGGCGGCACCCACTTGGAGCCAACATTGACAAGGTTCTCTATGCATGGGGTAATGTTGGCCCTTGCCCAAGAATAGTCATTTTGTCCTAAAGCAGACTTGGTTCATAAATAACGAGATGCAAACAGGCATTTATTTGTTCTCGATTGTGCTTAAATCCCCAATTAGGAGCTACAAGCACTTTTCTTGCCAGTTTGCCAAAAACCTGTTACAAGTTTTATTAATGTGAAAAAGAAAGGGGTGTGCCACCCAGGTACCCGAGTCATTGTGGGCGGCAGCCAGGCCCCTCCTGTTCCACAGACCCAGATAAACACTGGGCCGTGGGCCTGGGAGTTACTGGGTCAGGTCACAGAAACAGCTCTTCCCTCCCAGATCTGGTACTCCACATCATCCTCCACATGGTCCTGCCTCCATTGTGACCACCTCAGGGTAATGGACTTGGCCCAGGACAGACATGGCTGCCATCCCAGGTCTGGAGTACCAGCTGCCACACCTATAAAGGCCAGTCCTACGTGTGGACCCACCCCCCTCCATCCACTGGCCCTCCCCCACCAGTCCTCCAGTGCAGGCAGGCCTTCTGGGTTTCAGAAGCAGCCAGCTAGGAACCTGGCACGTCCTGGTAAGATGGCTGTTTTCCGTGTGTCCATCTGAAATCGGCCAGGACTGATGCTTGGAAAAGCATGGTTGGCTTGAACCCAGACAGTGCCCAGCGAGCACGTGCTCCCACCCCAGCACGGCTGGCTGGGTGGCTGCTCTTGTCCAAAGCAAACAGTTTCCTTTGGAAACAAAAATTACAGTGACGTCCCGGATGGAAATCACAGCCCAGTCTTGAGGAGGCTCTGGCTGCAGGGCATGTGTCCACAGCTAGAATGCAGGACTCCTCTGGGTGGGCTTCCCTAGCGCTCAGCCCCGTGCGTGCCTGGCCCCTTTTTCCACATTTGGTTCTTGGTGCACCCCCGCTCCCTCCCACAGCACCCAGCTCAGAATCCAGAGCTGTCCTAGCTCTCTCCCTCAAATGATTCCCTCAATGGCCTGTCCCTCCCTCTCTTTGCCTTGAGCCCCCCACTCCTCATCACCACCAGAGCGGATTTTCTGAGCACACAGATCAGACCAGTCCTCCCGTGGCCGCTTGTTTACTGTATGCTGCTGCCTCTGAGCCCCCTGGGGGATCCTAGGAGAGAAGGGGTGAGGGCTTTTCCTGCTCCATAGCTCAGTGGCCACTGGAAATCGGCCGCCCTCCTGATGGTCCTCAGGAGTGACCAGTATCATTTCCAGAAACCACATGAGAGAGGTGTAAAAGGTGGTATGGAAGTTTTCTACTCCTATCAGGCGTGAACCTATGGGAGGCGCTGTCTGATGGAGAAGGAGAGGTCGGGGCAGGTCCTAAATGTACAGGCAGGTGCCCCAGGTAGAGCTTGCCTAGCTCCTAGCCCACCCTGCAGCCTTGCTTGGACATGGTGCTGGGTCACTCTCACCTACCCATGTATGGCAGGCAGGTCTGGACTCCGGCTCAGGAGACCATGCCATTGTCTGGGTCAGTGAAGACAGCAGGATGGACGTCACACCTGATGCATGCACTGCTGGGCATTCTGAGCCCCCAGGGTGAGGCTGTGGGTGAAGTTCTGCCACTGTGGGGACACGGACATGTTCTCAGTCAGCAGGGCTGTGGTTGGGAAGTAGGTGTGCCCTGGTTTATGGAGCCACAGGGGTGGGACACAAATGTGTCGCCAGTTCATGGGATCATTGTGGGGAATGTAGATGTGTCCTGATTCATGGGATCATATGGGGGACATAGATGTGTTCCAGTTCACTGGCCAGGAGGGGGTGTGATATGTCCTAGTTCCTGAGATGATGCGGCAGGGGATGCAGATTTGCCTGGACCTTTCAGTAGAAGCCCCTGGGAAGCTGAAGCTCAGACAAGAGTATTCAGCCAAGCTTCCTGCAAAAGTGGGTCACATAGCATCCCTTTACTCCTCCCAGCCCACAGCGGTCTCCAGGGCCCCACTTTGTGGATGAGGAAGTAGAGATACTAGGGAGCACGTGTTCTTGTCCGTTCATGGAAGACGAGGCCAAGGCAACACTCTGGTGTGTGCTCTGCAGCCACTGGGTACCATGTGTCTAGGGTGGTGTAAAGTGCAGCCATGGACAGCGGACAGAGATGTGCCAGGTAGAGGAGGCCACACTCCAGCAGAGGTCACCTGGGGCCCTTGTCGTGTTTATTTCATATGGGAGGCAGCAAGCCCATATAGGTTATCACTATGCGATTCTAGACACTGTCAGATATGCCCAGAAGAGCACACCATTGCTATCAGTTAGATTCATACATGGGGAAGGAGAAGCAAGCAGAAGTCGGGAGACTGGACACCGAAGTGAGCCAGCCTTTAGCTCTGTGGAGAGGGTAAGGGCAGCGAGGCTGGGGCGGCTGCCAGGAGGGAATGCCGGTCACTCAGGAGCAATGTGCCTTACGCAAGGGCCCTGCAGCGCCCCAGCCCACGAGCCTGGGCAGCCTAATTAGAAGCCTCGGCTCCCAGGCTCCTATGGAGAACAGACAGAAACTCACTTCAGCCTTGGCTAATCGCCTTAAAAGTCTCTTGTTTGTATAGCACAGTCTCGACTTGGCGTCAGCCCAAATCAACTTGTTTTCTTCCTGTCAGGTTGAGATTCTGGAGATGCCATCCAAGACGTCAGTGTGTACCCTGAAGCCAGAGGCGGATGCCAAGCTGGGCATGCCCATGTGCCTGGAGCTGTGGCAGGTAGGGCTGTGCGCGCGCTCGAGACACACCCTGCAGGCCACACCCACCGTGGCCCTGAGTCATGCTCTCCTGGCTGGATTGTTCATCACATCGGTTGTGCACTTACCCCTTCAGTCTCAGTGTCCCTGGCACAGCGCTTCATCCCGCCCCTGCCTCGAGGAGATTTCGCCAGCAGAGGCCTGCCTCTGGCCACCAACTGGCTGGCTGCCAGGGTGGTGGGTAGTGTGGTAGGGTGGTTCGTACCATCCTTGAGAGCAGCCCTGTTTGTGCTGGTCCTTCTGGCTCTGCAGAGAGAGGAGGGAGGGAGGAGCATGCTGGCTAACCCCTGCATACCTGCATGGCCTTGCTGGGATTCATTTGTGTTACTTCTTTGCCCCTTAGACACAGGAATGGGCTTAACTTCTGACCTTCCATCCAGCCACTCAGTATTTCTGAGCCCAGCTTGCTCCTCCTTTTCTGGTTGGGTGTTTCCTGGGATTGGCAACAAGAGCAGGGGGACAGAAGGCGAATCCCCACAGGGTGACAGGTTTCAGTCTTGGCAGGTTGGATTTCAGGCTGGGAGGGGGCCTCCTATGCCTGCCTACCTCCATGCACAGACCCTGGCTCTTGGGTGTATCCCTGACCTCGGGGATTAGATTCCCTTCTCTTGGAGGGCAGCTGTGGTTCTGAGGGTACCTCTTCCTCCTCAGGGCCACTCTTATATGGGCTGGCAAAGCAAAGAGCTTGTTTGTTCACTTAGAGAACCTGATGGGGATATTTAGCCTCAAGCATCTTTTCTAGGACAGAGGCCCACATAAGTGAGCCACGAGCTACACCCATTTTGGGAACACTTGGTTATAGTGCAGACGGCCCCCCCCAAAGGGGCTATTCCTCCAACTCCGTCTGTTCTCAGGCTTTTCTAAATCACCAGATGCCTGCTCAGGCCTGGCTGCCATTTAAATTCTTCCAAAAGTCAAACTGGCCAGACTGGGCCTCTGCTGGGCATCATGCCCAGCACTTCTATCTGGCAGTTTGAAGTTGGTCGAGTGACCGACAGGATCCCCTTGGAGAGAGCCCTGGAGACCCCGTGCTGAGGGCTTGTCCCCAGAAAGTGCTCTGCCCTCCCTCATGGCTTCTTGACTGGGAATATTCGTGTTGGAAGGCGGGACTGCTGATACACTGATCCTGTGCTGGTGTTTCTCCCGTTGCGTCTTCCCAGGAGGGCTGGGTTGCATGAGGAAGCGGGGGCTTAAAGGAGGCTGGGCACCTGAGAGACACATGCCTGGCAAGACGCAGCTTCTGTGCCAGAGGTTTGCTGTCTAGGTCAAGCCACTTTGGCTGTGGAGGCTGGGGGCTTCGGAAAGGCTGTGGGAGGAGAAACACTCCTCGTGGGACATGGGAGCCAGAGGTGCTCCTCACTGTTCTTGGGGCAGGATGCCGCCCTGGGTGTCTCCTTCACATGCACTTCACTCCTGGGAAAGGCTGCTCATTGCACAATCATGTAAAAATTCCAGCAGAAAAATGTGTAGAAACGGGATGTACAAACTTGTTAGGGTAATTAATACAGTTGACAGAAGGACAAATCACGTTTTGTTAGTTGACACAGCTCCAATGGAGTGTTCTGTTCAAAAAAGGCTACACACTCATTTTGAAATGCTGCTTTTTCTCCCCAAATCAGGAGGTACAAGGGCTTCAAAAACGTTCATGTAAAAGTCCATTTTCCTTCTGTTTTGTTTTCCCACCAACTTTTCAACACTCCCTTGTAACTTTTGTGTCTGAGTGACAACAAAGTGACCAACTTATTTTCCCTGAAACGCTTAGTTGTATTTTTATTCTGTTCCTGAAAACATCCAGCCTGAGTTATCATGAGAACCCAAAAAAGCCTCATGTTGTCACTAGCATCCCCTCTCAGGAAGGGGTCCTACACAGCCCCTGGGTCTCAGGGTCCTTCCAGCTTCCCCACCCCAAGTTTGTGTGCAGTGATTCCCTGTGTGGATGCTAATTACAATTGGGCAGGGGATGCTGTGGGGGGTCACTCTGAGCCTGTGCACTAAGGAGCAGCCATCCTTGGCAGTGCTGACCAGGTAGGGCAGATGGTTAGAGAAGCTGAAGAGGAGACTGGTAATATAGAGCATCTCCTGGGTGGATGGGCTGGTACCAGGGCCATAGCCCCAAACGGCTCCTCAGCCATAAGAGCTCTGTCCTGCCTAAGGTGGTTGTGGCTGTCACTCAGAGCCTGAAGGGACACTGTGTGCTAGGAAGGAAGCCAAGGGTGTGAGCTGGGTGCCATTAGGAGCAAAGAGCAAGGACAGAGATGATGTGCTAACTTCTGCCGTTGTCAGTGCAGGTGCTCTTCCTGCCAAGGAGTACCCTGCCATGCCCCCCTCTACTGTGCTGTGACATGAGGCACTACACAGGGACTGGGTGAGAGACATGTGTCAGCAATGGGGAGGGACCCGGAGGCACTGCACTGATGGTGGGAGGAGCAGAGTAAAGCAGTCAGTTGAGTTCCTTGTGGTCAGCTCTGGGGACACCAGGCAGCTGGCCACAAGGCATCTGGTCACTAGGGCTTACTTGTGTGGTGGCCTGGCCTGACCTCACTTCAGAACACTACACTGGGGAGGACACTGCTCACCTGCATGGTTGGACTTGAGCTGAAAGGCACAGCTACTTTACAGAGGGACCAAAAAGAGTAACCTGTGCCCACGTCTTCAGAGATGAGTCATGTCTCTGAGGGAGTTTTCCGTTGGTGTCAAACCCCATGTTGGGGTCACCTACATGACCATGATAGCCCCTATTGCTAGAGACCCAGGGTGCAGTGGGTGCTCCCCAGATGATGCGCTCCTGAGAGACAGGCAGGGTCCCACGCCTCGCCCCAGAAGCCTTCCTGGTTCCTCTGTACTTTACTTTCTTCACTGTCTTTGTTTTGGGTAAACACATGATTACCATTGGAGAAGAATTTCTCTCACCAGCTTTTTCTGGAGACTTGAGGAACCTTTCTCTGAGAGCATTCATTGCCCCTATATTTAGGTCTCAGGAGACTGCTGCCTCCAGAACAAAGCTGACCTGGCGCTCCCCATTACTAGCTGAGTCCCCCACATCATGCATATACCTCCTCTTCTGACACACAGGAAAAGATCCCTTCTTTCCTGGACTGTTTCAGAATGGGACACCTACTCAGCATTAGATGCATGGCCTGGGGCTGAACTGGTTCACCCCAGCTAACAGAGTTTTCTTCTGGCGTACAGCTGAACACCGGGAGACATGCACTGTGTGAAGCATCTAGCCTCCACAGACCTCAGGTAGGCAGAAAGAAGTGCCTCCACACGTTTGCTAACAACAGGTAGGGGACAGGGAGCTTGGATACTGTGGACCTGTGTCCAGTAAGACTCAGTTCCCAACCCTGGCTCCACCAGAGGACTGGCCAACAGAGCACCCGATGAGGGTCAGGGTCAGGCAGGTTCTGTTGACATCGTCTGCCCAAGGCCCCATTCTCACTACAGCCTGCCAGAACCTGGAGAGTGGAGCCCCGCTGTACAGAGGGGCCGGCTGTCCATGGAACTCCTGGGGTTGGGGAATGCATGTAAATATTCCTGAAACTCTGTGATGCCAATGCTGGGCATCTCAGTGGAGAAAAGAGAGCAGGAACGAAAGCCACATTGCTGTCACTGAGGTAACCTGTTTGGAGGACCTGAAGCCAGGACCAAGTACTCTGTTAGTGGGGGAGGGAGGAGCATTGGCTGTTCTGCTGTGTCATGTGATCCTGTGACGTGCCTCTCCTGGTGTTATTTAAGAGGCTGAAATGAATGAGGTGTCTGCCCGGGGTGCTGTGCCCTCTGACCCAGCCCCTCATCCATCACAATAGCTCAGGACTGGCTGGAGTGCCGCACACACCCATTTAGTGCTGTGTCGACTCACCAGGGGCTGTTGAGGGTGTGTTGGGGGCTAGAGGAGCTGCCTCAGCGACATTGACAAAGCACAGAAATGTCATTTTTCACGGCGATAGAACTCGCGATTTTTTCTCGACCGGTGGTTCTACACAGATTATTGGTCAAGTTCGGGGGGGGTGTGGGGGGTGGCACAAGTCTCAAGGCTTTGGGGCATGGGGGTGGGAGGATGCCTCCAGAACACCAAAGGGAGCCCCTATTGGGCCCTCCAATGCACATTCCTCCTGAGTGCCCCCAAGGATCCAGGAGGATGTGCTGGGGGTGAGGGGGGCTTCTGACCTACTGCTGCTTGACTGGGAGTGGGCCCAGAGGGCAGCCTGCTGCGAGAAGCACATGTCCAGTGGGCAGAGCTGCGTGCTGAGCTGATCTTCTTCTCAACAGGCTGACTCCAGCCCCCGCCCACGCCTGCTGGCCGGCTATGAGGACGGATCCGTGGCCCTGTGGGACGTCTCCCAGAGGAAGGTGTGTAGCCGCATCGCCTGTCACACAGAGCCCGTCATGGGCCTTGACTTTGACCCACAGAAGGCCAGGGGCGTCTCGGGCTCTGCAGAGAAGGCGCTGGCCGTCTGGAGCCTGGATGAGCAGCAGGCCCTGCAGGTCAGTGTGCCGGACCCCGCGTCATTTATCCTGCTCTGCACTAACAGTCTGATAGGCTGAAAAAATATTTAGGCATGAAGAGGAGTTGTTGCAGATCCCTGGCTAATTAATCACTGTGCGGCAACTTCAGCCGCAGCGCCAATGCAGGAAGAGGGGGCGTGGGGCGTGCGTGAACCATTCACATGGTTTGGGTTTCTCCCAGACCTGTGGGTTAACAGCAGTCACGTCTTGTCCATCTAGAGAAAAGCATGCAGGGTCCCGGAGTAGCCAGGGCCGTTTGTGAAAACTCAGAGGAATTTGGCAAATAAGGAATTGATTAATAAAAAAAAAACACACACAAAAAAACAAGAAAGCCCAATGTGGAAAACACCCATGGAGTCACGCCCTGTGTCTGCAGGCCGCTGAGGAGGGGATGTTGCTCAAATCCTCCTCCTGCCATGTGGGTCAGGTGCTCAGCATAGGGTGCTCCCATGCGTGTTCCATCCTGTGGGGTTGTGATGGAGCTGAGTGCATGGGGTGGTAGCCTCCTGTGAAGCCCGATTGAGGAGTAGCCCATCAGGTGTTGGGCATTTCCTCTGTCTCTTGGCCCTCAGAGGGTGGCTTGCACACATACTGGCTTCTGCGGGTGAGAGAAGGCCCCTGCTAGCTGAGACTTGACCAGTTCCTTCAAAAAGCTGTGTGGTGAAGGGGACAGAATAGGCCTTCATGTCCCCCAGCTCCCCAGCCTCTTTTGTGGGCTTTCTTCTGCTCTTGTCACAGGGGAGATGCCTGTGCAGCTGAAGCCCTGGGCTCTGCCTGGCTCCTTGATGCTGCCCTCCTCTGCAGGGGTTGCTGAGGCCTCCCACCACACCCAAAAGGTCACATCGTTGGACCGCTAGGAGTGGAAAGTCCCTCCCAACTCCCCAGGGAGGGGCAAGCCTTTAAGCAAAAGGCCTACTCTGACAGGCAAGGCCGGAGTACCTGGAGCTCTTGGCTGGGTTGGACATGTTGGGAAGGGGCGGAGATGCTCGCTGATGGCTGGCAGGCCCCTGTAAGTGTCACTGTACCCTGGGTGCAGCCTTGGGGACATCACAACAAGCTCCTGCAGGTAAGGGACCAAACAAGGACCGCAGGGCTGAGGGCTCCTGTGAGTAACGTTCCTAGAGGTAGGGGCCAGTGTTTGGTGGAGGGGAAGCAGAGTGAGACCAGATCACTGGGCATTCCTGGAGAATGGAGGTTCAGACCAGAGTGAGGGCTGAGGCAGAAAGGAACTGGGCTATGCCTGGTGTCCTCACTGTGGCACCATCTCTGGATGTACCTGAGGGAGTAGGGAGCTAGCCCCACAGCGTACCTGAGGGATGGACACCCAGCAAGCAGCCAGGAGAAAGAGGGGAAGGTGAGATCCTGACGGGCTCAGATAAGACAGTGTGTATGCTTCTTTGGGACTGACCCTCTTCTTCCAGGCCAACCCTGTGTGGGTACACAGGAGGTTCTCGCTAGTTTGACCACCGAGGCTACCAAGGCCTCTGCAGTCATTGGCTAGAGGCTGACCCTGTCCAGGAGCTGGGTCTTCACACAGGTGCTGTACTGCTGCCATCTGGCTTGGTGGTCAGTCCAGCGGTGCCTTGGAGAGCCTGGCAGAGACCAGGTCATGCCCACTCTCTGTGCAGGGCTGTTTGTGCTTGAACTTCTTGACCAATGACCTTTCCTCAGTGCCCTCCTGGGGGGCCCCCTCCCTTCCTCAGCTTCCCTGAACCCAGGGTTCCTGCTGCTGGGTCTCCTCATATCTGTTCAGGAAACAGCTGCTGGAAGTTAAAACTGAAATTTATGGGGTATGTTCCAGTCCTGAGCTGGTTTTACTGTATTGATGAATTTAAAAGTTAAAGCAGAAGGGGGACCAGAAATTGCAGAATGAAATGGTCGCATGATGTGTGGCAGTGGGCTCGGCAGGGGGCCTCTGTGTGCAGCTGTCCACTTCAAAGAAGTAGAAAGCTTTCAAGATGGAGTGGGCTCCTGATCAGCGATCACCACGGCGGCCATGTAAGGAGAGGCCAGGTGGAAAGTGAGGAGGCCAACCTGCAGGCTCTCCAAAAGTCAGCATCAAAGTCCACCTGAGAGGCCTGGGGGTCTGTAAAACCCAGGACATGGGATGAAGCAACACTGGCTTCATTTTGCCAAGACAAGTACCCAAAACATCCTTGACACCCAGGAAGAAGAGAGGCGACCATATGCCTTACCATTCAGTGTCCTCCAGGAGGTGACCACATGCTTCACCATTCACAGTGCCCTTAGTGAGGTGATCATATGTCTCCCCATTCAGAATGTCCTCCAGTGAGTGACCGTGTGTCACCATTCACAGTGTCCTCCAGTGAAGTGACCACAAGCCTCATCATTCACAGTGTCCTTTAGTGAGGTGACCACATGTCTCAGCATTCAGAACGTCCTCCAGCGAGGTCAGCCCACACCCTCAACTATGAGTTTCACCACAGGCTTGGAGGCACCCCGTCTCCCAACTCCTCTGTGCTCTGGCAGCGCCTGCCTCTGGCTTGTGGACCACGTGGACACAGATGCTCCTCACCTTGTGTCTTTTTCCTGAAGTCTCTAATGAGGACAAATCAATCTCTCCCAGGCGAGCGTGGGGAGCAGAGATGCAGATGAGGTTTCCCTGCACCAGAGCATGGGTAATCGGAACCAGATGGCGTCCTCGCCGCACTGCGCATTCCTACTACCTGAGGTCATGCCTTGTGAAAGCCACTTGGTGGCCAGAGATCTCAACTGGCGGGCTCTGTGTCCAGGACAGGGTTGGTGTGGAGGTGCAGAGGCAGTATGGTGTGCTGGTCACCCTGGTCAGCACGCACTGGCCTTGGGACCCATGGTGGCACTGGAGGCTCCTTGGTAGCGTTTCCCCTCGAGCTCATGGGCCCGGCATTGGCTGTCCTCAGGCCCAGGTGGTGAGCAGACTCCTTCCCTTGCACACTTGGGGCAGTGCCCACAAACCTTAAAGAACACCCTGATTTATAGTCCGCGGTATTTTTAGGCCTTTAAACAATAATGAGGCTCCCCCATCCTAATCAGTCCTGGGCTGGGAGGCGGGCTGACCGCGCTTACTACACCACTTGCTTCTTTCTGTGACCCGCGCTGGCTGCCCAGAGTCCTGGACTGGGTCCCCATCTGTACAGCAGGAGCGAGAGCTACACGCCCTGCTCCCAAACTCCGCCAAGGGGCTGCATTTAAAACAGCAGCAGCCTCACAGTATGAGTGAGCCAGAGAACAAGACTGAAGTCCAGGATGCCCCCCAGCCAACTTCAGGTCCCCGAGGCCCCAGTCTTGCACTTTCCCAGGGAGTCCTCCGAGTTTCATAATGAGAGCAGCCTGGAGGGTCGGGTGAGGTCAGCGCAGCCCCCCACACACCGGACACAGGTGTCTGCTAGGGCTTTTGAGCCCTGCCCTTCACCACCCACCACACTCCATATCTCACAGCGGCACTATCAAGGGTCCCTCCTCTTTAGAAACACAGGCCCCAGGACAAGGGCTTGGCTTTTTCTGTCTGAGGTGTACCCTAAGCCACTGCCTCCTGGTTCCCTGGTACACAGTGCTGCTGTGTAGCCTTTGTTTTTAGGAGTGGGACATGGGTCTGGCATGTGGGCTGGGCACTCACGGCTCTGCCCACAGAGGCCTCGCCACTCATCTGCTAGTGTAGCAAACGCTCACAGAGCCAGTGGCTTCTGCACAGAGGCAGACATTGATAAGGGAGGTTTCACACTAAAACTAGCATGTGTCTGTGAGCAAACTGTCTTGAATCCTGCCTTCACCCAGACAGGCCCACCTGGCACACACTGGATATGCCCTCTCCAGCTGTGTGCCCGTTTTCCTAGAGTGTGAAAACCACAGTGAAGTCTAGCCTGTCGTAGTTCCTGTCCTTGGCTGCAGCGTCAGGGTGTGCATAGGCAGGCCAAACTCGGCTGTTCTCTCGGCTTTATTAACATCACATATACATGGGAGGCCCTAAGTGGGTTCTATGAAACTCTGCCTGCACCTAGAGGCTTCCTTTCCCACTACTGATACAAGCTTGCTGGGTCCAGCATCAGCTGTCCTCAAGCCCAAGGTGGGCTGTGAGATTTATGAGAGAAAACTTCAAGTGGTGCCAGTCACCGGGTCCCTTTCTGGAGGTAACAGTGCCCTTGGTAAATCAGAGTCTGGGCCCCTGTAGACATATACCAACAGCCTTTCTAGGCTGGGCTATCGGGAAGAAGCTCTATGAAGGGGCTTTGAAAAGTTCATAAATGAATGGAATTAAAAGTGAAGGGGATTTTTTCGCAGGACCCCAGAGCCTTTCACAGTACCCCTCTGCTACCATAGTGCTGCCACGGGTCTGCGTGGAGGTATCTGTAGGTGAAGCCCTGCTGGGGAGAGCAGGTCAAGGGTGCTGTGCCTGTTGGCCTGGTGCTCTCGAGGTAAAGGAACTGCCTGTGAGGCTGGGCGTCTGGTCAGGTTTAGGAGAGGTGTGTGTGTCCCTCCAACCTAGCTCTGCTGTGGTGCCTCCCACATTTTTATCTTCCTGACTTCTGGGTGCTCCTCACAAAGTAGGCCATTCAGCAGTCTATGAAGTGATTTCCACATATTTCTCCAGTTTACCATATGCCTTTGGACTCTGCTTTAAATGAACTTACCAGGCAAAAAAGGTTTTTTAATAGTTGGATTTCAGTCATGTTTATTAAAGCGTCTAGGTTTTATATTCATCCACTTCACAGACGTTGTTGTTGTGAAGTGCCATCAAGTCGGTTCCAACCCATAGCGACCCTGTATAGGGTTTCCAAGGAGCAGCTGGTGAGCTTGAACTGCCAACCTTGCAGTTCAAATAGCTTTGCAGTCTGGCACATTAACCCATAGCACCACACCAGGACTCCTTGCTATATGCAAGCACTGCTTTAGGCACAGAGATACAGCAGGAAACCAACATTCCTGCCCACATGGAACATTCTAGAAGAGTACAGACAGAAAGGGTAATAGTCCAGAAAAGT